CTAAGCATCTATAATTGAAATCACTGGATTCAAATTTAAAGCACTTTTATATGATGTCATTTATATGGTCGTCAGCAATGTATAAGAGATACTAGTAATAGTCAAACCGTGCTTAACACTTTAAAAAGGAGGGAATACTCGCGAAATCGACATACAAAAAATATTTAACAGATAACTTGAAATCTTATTGACATAGAGAAACAACTCAAGGTCATTTGAGAAAAATCAATAATGGACAGATTATATGGTTCCCTTTATTTTTTGTTTGGAGGCTTACATAATATAGAAATGCTATATAACATATATATATATATATATATATATGTTTTAGAAGAAAAAAAATATGGATTTTTTTATGTCTGGGGCCCACATGTAGACCGGTGCCGAGCATCGGTGTCTGCACCCGCAGTTGGAAAGCGAATCCTGTCGAACCGTCTAATCAACCAGTCCAGTCTACGGCTGACGCAGTTGGATTGGACCATATACAAAAAAAAAAAAATTTATTGTGACATGTGTGATCCGTATATTTGTGATTTTATGATTTGTGATTGTCTGAAGGTAGAAGAAGACTAGAGATTAAAGGTAGAAGAAAAATAGAAGCGGTTAGATCTTAATCTTATGATGTAAAAAATTTATGTATTAAAACTATATAAAATATATGGTTGTATAGTATACATACTCGACAGAATATGATAAGACCCCAGTCACAGACTCACAGTAGTGCAGTCCCTCTCAGTCCAAAAAGATACTCGGTTCTGTAACGCCAAAGGGTGTGCTACAAATCTACAATAGACAGCACTGTTCTTTTTCTTTATATGAAGAAAAAACTGCACTGCTCCATTCACTATTCTCATAGCGACCGGCATCGTGAGTTCATTTCTCAGATTTGATAGAACCCACGTTAGTACTAATTATTCCAAACTATTCTATTCGGCGGACCAAACAAAAAAATATAAGAAATAAGTAGACGATGGACCACCTTATTCTTCAAACAAACACACTCTAGGTTCATTGGTGTTGACCAGTCTCCCTCTCACAATTGCTTCTGGAGGCTTGACACTGCATTGCAAGTTGGGTCCTATCTATAAGAGCGTCCTCCATCCAGGTCACTTGAAGAAAACTCAAATGCTGCAATCGCCATGGGTGCAGTCTCCACACTTGTGTTTCTTCTCACTCTGATTCATCTGATTTTGCAAATCACCGCTCTAAATGTCCTCTCGGCAGGCTCCTCTCTCTCCGTAGAGCGCAGCTCAGACGTGCTCCTTTCGCCAGATGGCACATTCATCTGTGGCTTCTACAACGTTTCCCCCAACGCATCCACCTTCTCCATCTGGTTCGCCAATGCGTCTGAAAGAACCATCGTCTGGAGCGCAAATCCTCTTCATCCTGTGTACACCTGGGGATCAAAGGTGAAGTTAAGCTTCGATGGGAGCATGGTTCTGAGAGACTACGGTGGCCAGATTGTGTGGAGCAACAACGTGAGCTCCACAAATGCTGAACAAGCTCAGCTCTTGGACACTGGGAATCTCATCGTGAAGGGCAAAGGTGATACCATTCTGTGGCAAAGCTTTACTTCTCCTACTGATACCTTGTTACCCACTCAAACCATTAATGTTACCAGCAAGCTCGTGTCCATTAATAGATTGCTTGTTCCTGGCCGCTACAGCTTACATTTTGATGAGCAAGTCCTGATTTCACTGTTCTATGATAAAAAGGATCTCTCTTTCATCTATTGGCCAGATCCCACTTGGACTATCTGGCAAAAGCTAAGGATACCATTCATGATCAACGCAAGCGGTTTCATGGCTGCTGACTGGGGTAGTCACACCATAAGAAGGCTAACACTGGATTATGATGGCAACCTCAGATTATACAGTCTGAATAAGGCAGACGGAACATGGTCTGTAACATGGATGGCGTTTCCTCAGCTCTGCACAGTGCGCGGTTTGTGCGGCGAAAACGGAATATGTGTGTATACGCCTGTGCCTGCTTGTGCGTGTGCCCCTGGTTTTGAAGTCATCGACCCAAGTGAGCGGAGCAAAGGCTGCAGACCAAAGACCAACATTAGTTGTGACGCGCAGAAGGTGAAATTTGCTAAGCTACCCCACACTGGGTTCAATGGGTATGATATGGCTGCCCTTCGTTTTGTTTCTCTTGACTTTTGCATGAACAAATGCTTGAATGACTGCAATTGTAAGGGTTTTGCATACTGGGAAGGAATCGGCGACTGCTATCCAAAGCTTGCTCTTGTTGGTGGTGTAACCCTGCATCACATTGGTACTACTGGCACCATGTACATCAAGCTTCCCAAGGGAGTAGAAGTGTTGGAGGCCTCAATTCCGCAATCACAACCCTTTGGTCCCAAGTATGGTCCTGACTGTACTACAACAGATAAGTACTTCATAGCAGATTTTCTGGATATGCTTAAGAGACAGCACAGTGAATCAAAGTTTCTGTACTTCTATGGATTCTTATCAGCAATATTTCTGGCAGAGATAATGTTTGTTGCATTAGGATGGTTTATTTTGAGGAGGGAACGCATGGTACTGGGAGGAGTATGGCCAGCTGAGCCTGGATATGAAATGGTAACTAATCATTTTCGCAGGTACACCTACAGAGAGTTGGTGTCAGCGACCAGAAAGTTCAAGGATGAACTTGGGAGGGGAGCATCAGGCATTGTATACAAAGGGGTCTTGCAAGACAACAGGGCAGTAGCTGTGAAAAAATTGGCAGAAATAAACTAAAGTGAAGAAGAATTCCAGCATGAACTGACTGTGATTAGCAGGATTTATCATATGAACCTAGTGAGAGTTTGGGGATTCTGTTCCGGTGGTCCACACAGGATATTGGTTTCTGAATACTTTGAGAATGGTTCATTGGATAAATTCTTATCTGACAGAAAGAGTTCGGAAATCTTACTTGGATGGAAGCAAAGATTTGATATTGCGCTAGGGGTGGCTAGAGGATTGGCGTATCTTCACCACGAGTGTTCAGAGTGGGTCATCCATTGTGATGTGAAACCTGAAAATATACTGCTGGATGAGAACTTGATGCCAAAGATCACCGACTTTGGCCTTGCAAAGCTCCTGAACAGAGGTGGATCCAACATAAATGTTTCAAAGATCCAAGGGACTAGAGGTTATCTAGCACCAGAATGGGTTTCTAGTCTCCCAACTACAGCAAAGGTTGATGTCTACAGCTTTGGAGTGGTGCTACTGGAACTACTAAAGGGAGCCCGTGTCTCAGACATGGAAAATAATGAGGATGAGGAAGTGGAGATGGTCCTTGGAAGGATAGTCAGGATGCTTAATGAGAATCTGCAGTTGGATGGCACTGAACAATTATGGTTCCCTGACTTCATTGACGCTAGACTGAATGGCGATTTCAACTATCTGCAAGCAAGAATAATGATGATGCTGGTTGTTTCATGCCTGGAGGAAGATAGAAGCAGACGACCTACCATGGAAGATGTAGCGCAGATGCTTGTTTCTGTTGATGAAGTTACTAACGCAACCAGAGCGGAAGGAGCTGTTTAAAGGCCTGCATCCATACGATTAGTAGTACTAAGGGTCATACAGATATCCTGCTGTTTAAAATCCTGCATCCATACGACCATTGTAACGATAAAATGCTAGCAGTATAATTGTTGCAGTATCCATGCTGTATTTGTTGCCATGTTGTGTAATATAGCCGAAAAAAAAACTTCTCCAGCATTATCATGAACTCATTTTATTATTACCCAGATGTAATCGTGTGCAGATCAGGTCAGTGTAGTGCCATGCTTATTTCAGGGAGAGGACATACCCGATCTCTGTTTTTTTTCGCGTGCGCGGGCGGGCGGGCGTGTGTGTGTGAAGGATTGAGAGGGTAATGAATTAATCTTCTGAAAACATTCACCACAGAGCATGAAACCTCGGAGGAGCACTAATGCATAGACACTGAAGTCGCAGATAAGATACTAAAGAGCTGCACAACGAGAGCTAAACCTACGGCAGGCATATCAAAGTCCCAATAGGCCAATACAACTTTGTTCTGTTTTATAATGGTGTCATAAGTATGACATGTGCACACGGCAGGTGAGGAGCCTTGATGCATAGAAACAACGAGCAGTCATGTAGCACCAGAGATGCAGGGAGGCTGCAAGCAAATCTCAGCTAACTGCTCACCCCTAGGGCTCATCTTCGTGTGTCTTGAGAGCGGGCATTGGTTCATACTCATCCGGTGAAATGGGATTGCAAGCTAGAGGTTTGGAGATCCAGGGCATATAGGCTCCCTCATGGCATAAGTTCTGCAGAAAAGAATGAGAACAAATTTAACTTTAGTCCAAAGGCATGGAGAACATCACATTTTCTTTCACATAGTACTGCTACTGTCCAGGCATTCATGGGTCAGTCACCAGAAATCTGAAAGAATGAGGCACTGGCCACTATTGCGATGCACGAAACAAATGAAGAACCAAATATCCTCCTTGTGTTTGCAGAAAAATTGTGGTGAATTTGAAATGGATTACTACTAATACTGAAGTCCCCCCTCCGGCCCTCCCTTACAAAGCACCATAAAGCAGGCAAACCACTAAACGAACATATTATGGACGTTTTGTTTTCAAACCACTGTAGCTGTCAGCAAGAAACAGGTTTTTTTCACTAATTAGGTGAAATCTCTTCACAACATTTTTCTATCTCGAAAAGAAAGGCACATGTGAATAATTTCAGATTCACTAATTTTCAACTCCACCAGCAGAGACCTTAAGCACTGGGAAGTTTAAAAAAAGGGTGGTAAACTTAGATCACCTCCAACCAAAAGAAGAACTTTCGTAGTAGGCTCAGTCTCTTATCACGGTCAGCTGAGTTTATTTGTACGGCTAGATCTGCATGATTAACTAAAGATGAGTCATGCTCGAGAAGTACTAAAATGAAATCTATCAATCGATTTCACTGGTAAATAGAAACTTGCATATATATATAATTTAGCATCACAGCATTGAAATAACAGATTGCACCTTACTCGAGAACTACTAAAATGCAATCTTCAATTGATATCATGCCAGATATCAATTCATAAAATACAAGTTCTGCATCACAACATTGAAAGCATGGCCTTCAATACTGCTATAGAATCATGAGATGATGCATTACAAAATGCATGAGTCATATAGGCATCACATATATAAAAATCTAGATCTCAGTTTCGAGAAAAAGCCCACTGGTATCTCCATTACATGTATATAACATAAAAAAAAAACTGTGGTAAATAAAACAAGGACGAAGCTAAAGCTACCTAAAAGTTCAAGGTCTTATTCTCTGTGGTTGCTATATATCATGTTATTGTGGTCATGAAACTATACAACAAAAAAAACTTAGTTCATTTCCAAATGGACGCAAATGATTCATATGATGGAGGAAAGACTGAGGCCTCCAGAGTTTCCTTATGTGGTAAGAGTTATATGATGAAAGCATATGTTACTTGGCTAATGCAGATCAATTGGAAAATGAACAATTGGCTACTAAATGCTTGTCAACCACCTGATCAAATCACAGGAATCTGCCTTTTCCTTTTGTAAACCAAGAGTATTTATTACAACCCATACGGATAGCAGGATATAGTGGCTGGAGATGGATAGAAAGGTGCTCAATTAACACGTCAGGACAAACAAGTTCCCCTACCAAGCTTTGTGATTATACCTGGGTAATAATCGAGATATGACAGCCCGATTGCCTCTGTAACATAGCGCTTTGATGCACTTCGCAAGTGTCTTTGTCTGCTCACAGGCTTCCGGTCAGTGGCTTTTCTCCAAAGCTCTTCGTATTCGTTTTGATCATATGGTTGACTTAAAACAGCATTGAGTTTTTCATCAAATGTAGATGAACCACCGTAACTGATAGCAAGAGGTGTTGCTTGTTCATCTTCACATGCCTGGGCCAAAAGGCAGCTATAGAACAGGCAGCATCATTTGAAGAGAACCAGAAATTATGCAAAAGAATCTTACATTTAAATCAGATGGTTCAGCATAAAGTACGAGGCCACGCTCATCTGTGCAAATAATATCCTGACCATCAATGTTCTCTGAAGAAGGTGCAGCCATTTCATGTTCAGAAGCAATTTCGTTAGCGGGTGCAAGCCCATAATCATATCTTTGCATGGTGTAGTCTTCCTCCATGTTTTCAAGTGGAGACACCAAAGGCAGTTCATTTGTGGAACTGCCAGTTCTCCATTCATCATATCCAGCTGGCATATCTTCTTCTCGCTCATATACAATGGTGACACCAGGTTCTGGCTCAATAACCATGAAACCATCCTTGAACTTCACAAGGCTCAGAAATAACTCATAAGATTCATCTACCGATGAGGCCGTGGTCTTCTTCTTCTCATATGATCTCTTTGGTGAAAAGGAGCAATTCACATTTCTGCTGGCAGCCTTGACCGCTTTCACATCAGGCCGTTTGCCATCTGGAATGCCCGAACTTGTGCGCCGTGAATGGTTGGGAAAATTTGGGCTACTTTTGCCCTTAGTATTTCCATAGGACGTATGATCCTCCTCATACCGTACAGAAAAGGGCAAGCCGTGGTCGCCCTTTGGCACATCAAGGACATAGGCATTCCCATCTTTGCTTAAATGTTCAAGGAAAAGTCTATAACATGGATCTATTTCAGAACCATGTCTACCAATTAGGCTGCCAAACAACTTGCCCTTCTTGCATGATGATCCGTGCACAGTTTTCTTGCTCTTCATCGCCAGATTCCTAGATTCAAGATGAGTTTCTTATAAGTGCCACCAATGATTCATCAGTCACTGAAGAAAAAAAAACACAAAATCAGAGGGCACCAGCCAGGCAATTCTTGCATGCAAAATTGCATACTATGGGAACATCATATTGGTAGCCATCAGCATCATGCAATCTAACAAACGATCTAATGTCGCTAAATAATGTGATGAAAAGGAACGTAAACCTCAATGTATCATACCTGAAACTTGCCACCCTGAGCTGGGGGAGGTAAATTGGAGCCGATTTGTTAAGCACAGAAATATATATAAAAAAAACGGAACCTAAGTTAACCACTTTTTTTTGCCGTTTTGGTTATTTTGTTTGTACGAAATGAATTTCTAGGCCAGGGATTTCTGTAAATCGCATTTCGGAAACAGAAACATTCAGTGGTTAACCAATACTACGCTTGATGCCGTCAACAGGTGTCAGACTAGGCAGCTACAGTACATAGTAAAGTCACTGAGGCAATGAAGATCGCAAGATCAGAACTTGAATGAGAAAAAGTGAAGATAAAAATGCAAGTGACTCTGCCTGGGCGATGGAAGAAGAGGGCACCTGCTTGCCTGCTGCCCTGGCGGGGGATCGGCAGCGTGACCTGCGCAGCGAGGGGCGCGGAAACGGCGGCGTGGCGCGATGCGGCGGCCGATCTAGACGAGCGTGTTGACAAGCCGGCGACGATGTGGCCGCGGCCGGGGGCGAGGGGCGAGGTGACGGCTTGTGGGCCGGTGGGCTGGGGCGACTGCTCCACCACGGTGACGAACGGCGGTGCGGCCGTGCGGGTAGGCAGCACAACCTCTCTTTGTGACGGTGTCGGCTCGAATTAAGTGCTGATAGCCGATATTTTTTTTTAAGAACTGATAGCCGATAGTTAGCATCCATGCGACCATGCTGGGCTTCGCTACGAATTGAATTACTAGTGTTTTTGCAGTAGCGATGGAAAAAATTAATAGAATCCGATTAGTGTTTTTCTTTTGAGGAAACCGATTAGTGTTATTACAATGTTTTACAGGTTAACAAGAGGCAACGTAATTTGGAAAAATATAACAGTTTTGTTAGATGTATTGGAGAGAACCAAATGGAGAAAGTGGATGCCTCGGAGGAAATGTTGTTGAAGCCAACACGTATGAATCATCAGGCGATTTCGTCCTGTATAACCGGTGATAATACAGATTACAGAGACCATTAGGCGCTGAACTCAACGTGGTCAAAACAGTCGATACGGGAGTGAATGCGTGCCACGAGGTGGTGCTGAGATAAAAAAAGGCAAGTCATCTATATATGCGGTGCTGATTGAATAAAGTATTATTTTCTTCTCACGTCAAGGCAACACATGCTAAAAAGAATCTTGTGAGTTAGCCCCCATATAAATTCAGCATCGATGTCGACACTGTACAGGTTGGTGCCGTAGTTTGCTAGGTGAAACCTTTGGCAAACTGTGATGGCCAGAGAAAGCTCGGCAAGGAAAGTTAAAGTCACACTTGTAACAAAGTTTGATAAGAAAATAAGTCTATGATGTGTGGGACAGTGTGCTTGGGGAAAGAAAGTGCTTTAGAAAATATGGCAACCAGTAATGGTGACAAATGAACCAAACAAATTGGAAAAAAAAACTATAACTAACCTAGATCATAGCACATTCTGATCACGAACAAATAGGCCCACGTGTAATGCTTTAGGTGGCATCAAAAGATGTAGCATGAGCGTGGTGATTTCAGAATCAGCTACACTGTGGCTAGTCTTATGGGGCATGTTTGTTTTTGACTGGACTGGCTCATGCGGATGACGTACTTGGCCAGGGCATTTCTAGACAGATCAGATTGGTGCCACTTCTCTTGTTTGGTGGACTTTGTATCTGTTTGGCCTAGCTTTGTACAATTGTTTGTTTGTTTAGAAGTATATTGTGGGTGTAACATCTCAGGCACTCCGGCCCGCCACCCCCACATGCGCTGGACCATCGCCCAATAGCAGACAAACAAAGGTGGTAGAGGTACGGGGCTTTTCATGTCACCTCGCCTGACGGGCCTTGGGCGTTGGCCCAAGCCAATGCGGAGTACTACTACCACTGTTTAAAGATGACATAGTGGGCCTAGCCTGCTCAGCAACCCTGCTATAAAGAGTCAAGATGAAGTGTTCTCACCCCAAAACAGGGCATGGCCTTATTTGGCGTTGTGGCGGCGAATTCGCAGAGTAAAAGAAACCTGGACGCTGGCACGGGTAAACCCAGTCTGTGTGTGATGAACTGATGATGCCGATTCCTAATGCTGAGTGAGTGATGACAACAAAGTATTAATGACCACCGAATTGTTATGACTAGTTAAGTACAAGTTCAGTAAAGTATAAAATATAATGAAACATAAATACACACTTAGTAAAATCTAAAATTTTATTAAATGTGTTCTAATATGTGTTAATCTGTATGAAATCAAAATATTTTATTCTAATTGTGTTTTGTATAATTTTATTGTCTAAAATACATTAATAAATATATATGATAAGAATATTTTTATTATATCTTTTTTATATAAATATGGACTACTAAACTACATATTAACTTAAAAATATTGTAGTGCTGTTAGGGGAATAAAAACACATATTAAGGATATTAATGAAAACTATGGGTTTTGATGAAAACTATGGGTTTTGATGAAAAACTATGGATATTGTGGGCAAACAAAGGCGCAATGCAGAGGAACAAACTACGGATATTGATGAAAAATAACATATAGAGTACTCCTCCCTAAATAAATAACTTTTTATAAATTTTTAAACATGTACCTTCAATCTCCTTTTCTTTCTCGAAGGATATTTCCTAAATTTTAGTTTGACCATTATTGTTTGCATGGAACCATGATTAGTTTCCGCATTAGAAGACACATTTTAAACAAACCTCAGAGAGGTATTTATTTTGGGATGGAAGGAGTAACTCGTAATATATTTATCACAAAACAGACAATAGAAATTGCAGTGTGCATATACGAGTATTGTATTAGGACACGAGCAAAGAAGACAAAGTAAGTAATTTGTTCATGAGCTTCAAATTCTTATGTGTCCCATGCTTTTTAGCACATGTAAGAGCAAGGGTTGATAAACTAGTAGAGTAAACCACTATGTGACATAATTTTTAATACTCTACTGTTCATCAAAAAACTTACCATTCTAGGATTCAAAATGTGCCTTATAAAACTTGCAATTGTAACTTTTGGATAGCTAATGCGGTCCACATATATAAACTCAACCGCACATCTTTGCTCTGTTGGTTATATACACAATCAACTAAGCTAATACCATGTTCTAAAAAAACTAAGCTGGTACCTATACCACAACAGTTTTTTCTATGGTACCATGGTCATTTGAATTACGTGCTAATCTGTATGAAATTTTCTAGAATGACAATACTTTGGGTGGAGGTACTCCCTCTTTCACAAAAAGAGTACAATTCTAGTTTGAACTAGGTCATTTTTGTTTGACTATAAATTTATAAAAAATGTCAACAAATAAATTTACTATAAAAATGTATTTCATGATTAAGCTAATAATGATATTTATTTGGGAAAATTGTGTTCTTGCCCTTGTCCAGTACTCCAATTGTGATTTTACCCCTCTTTTTTTAACTTTGTAATTTTACCCTCGCTTTTTTCAAACGAAGCTCCTGTCTACCCCTGCTTTGTAACACCGTCTAAAATGCTTAGATTAAATGGAAAAAAAAGAAAAAGAAAAGACACCTACATGAAAAGACAATGATACCCCTCAGTCCCTTTCTCCTTTCTCACCCGTTCGCTCGACCCGTTCCCTACGAGAAGTCGCGGCTCATGAGAAGTTTAAGTGGCCTAGCAATGGCAGCCCTACTGGCGCTGCCTCCTCCTCCTCCTACTTCCCGCTCCCCCAGCGTGGCTCATCCTCCTCCTTCCCGCTCCCTCCCGGCGCTCCTCCTCCCCTCCGCCACACTCCGGTGGCCTTGCTCACGTGTTAGGGTTTGGGAGTACCGGCGTCGGCACGACCTCTGGCGGTGGTGCAGCTCATCCTCACTCCGCCCGCTCCTCCCAGGCTCGCGCCCGTGTAGGGCTGGGCGCCTGTATGGCCTGGCGGGCCTGGCTCCGCCCCAACCCCCCCCGGCTCACGCCACAGTTCTTGGCCAGGGCTGGCCGGCCTCGCCTGCCCCCCCCGCCTACGCAGGTCGCAGCCGCACCATCTGCTGCTCCAGTTGGACACCTGGGATAGCTGCAGGGCGGGCGGAGTGGGCGGCTCCGGTGCCTGGCCGCGGCTCCCGGTGGCGCCTGGCAGCGGGTCTCCGCGCCGCCTCCTCCCTTCCTTCCTTCGCTCCTCCTCCCCATGCAGGCTCCCGTGCCCACCTCCTGCTGCCCCGCTAACGGCGCCGCACCCGGCCACCGATGGGGCCTCCCCGGGCGTCATCGCGCGCCTCATGGGACTAGAGTCCTGGCCCGCCACCGCCACCGCCACCGCCGCGCCGCCCAGACCACAGAAGCAGAGGAAGGTGGAGGCATCGCGTTCGGACAGCGCCGCCGACTCGGTGGTCGTGCTGGTGCTGCCTATGACCCGGAGCCGTCGCCCTCCCGCGCCCGCGCACGCGCCGACGGCGAGGAGCCACCACGGGACCCGGGCTCATGCACAGGCGCCAGATTGGCACTCACGTACGCTTTCTCTTCCCCGCAGCACCGCAAGGATGGCCACGTGGGCGCCTTGCTTCACGGCTCGTCGGGAATGGTCGATGACTTTCCTGTCTTGCTCTGACAGCTTGCCCTTGGAGTGTTTTAGTGCTTATAGTGTTACATGAATCAACTTATATGGCGGTTACTTTTGCTGAAAAAACATATACTGTATGACATTCCTTTGTGGTAAGCTACTAAGGTTATCTGTGCATGCATCTACTTATACAGTTTGTTATGTTCAACATGCATTCTTATACATTGAAGATTTTTGATCCCACACAAAAGATTATATCAAAATATTT